TTTTTTTTTTTTTTTGTTCTTTGCACAGAGTTTACCCCTCAATCCCAAACCTTTCCTCAATGGATTAACAGGAAAGCCAGTGATGGTGAAACTCAAGTGGGGAATGGAATACAAGGGCTACCTGGTATCTGTAGATGGCTATATGAACATGCAGGTAAGCTAAAGAGTTATAAAGTTCATAAAATTTTATTTATAATTTTCTTTGCCTTATTTCTCAAGAAGTTTCTAAATTTCTTTGCCTTATTTCTGATGTGACTAATAAGAGTACTTACAATTAAATCAACAAACATAAGCAAAATTCAAGAATAAAGTAAAGGTTAGGGAGAATGTCTGTGATATACTAGGTGAAAGACATGGGATTAAATCAAAATTCAGCCACAGATTTTACTCTTAATAGTTACAAAGTGAGAAGCACTTTGACATTTGAATCAGTACTATTAGGGAAGCACACTAGTTTATTGGAGGAAGCAAAATTTCTCTTAGCTCTGAAATAAAATTTTAAAGTGAAATTCTTCCAACTTTTAATAAGGGCTAAAGGCACAACACCAAAGTAAACCAATAAAAGCACTTCTTCATGGAAAATATGGATCAGCCAGGGGAATTGATAACCTGAATACTTGTCTGTTAAATTATTTTCCATAAATGATTCAGCCAGGGTTTTTTTTTTTTGTAATTTAATTTTTTTTTAAATATTTTTTTAGATGATGGACCATTATTTTATTCATTTATTTGTACCTAGTGCTTCTCACATGCTAAGCAAGTACTCTACCACTGAGCCACAACCTCAATTAATTTTTTAATTGCAGTAAAATATATATTAAAAATTAGCCACTTTAAGCATTTTCAAATATATAATCAAGTGGCATTAAATACATTCATTGTCATATAGCTATCACCATCATCTATATCTAGGACTTTTTCATCTATACCCGTTAAAAAATAACCCTTCATTCCTCTGTCCTCCTACCCAGCCCCTGCTAACCATTGTCTTTATACAATTTAGTCAGCCCTCTGTATCTCTGGGTTTCATTATCTATGTTTGCAGAGTCAGTCAACTGCAGATTGAAAATATTTGGGGGGAAAATTGAGTCTGTACTGATTATGTACAGACATTTTTCCTTGTCATTATTCCACAAACAACAGAGTATAATAACTATTTACATAGCATTTACATTGTGTGAGGTATTATAAGTAATCTAGAAGTGACTTAAGGTATATGTAAGATATGCAGAATATATGGAGGATATGCCTGTTATATGCAAATACTAAGCTTATGTATGGGACTTAGGCATCCTCAGATCTGTGGCAGGTGGATTCTGGAACCACCTCTGTAGATTCCAAGGGACAAATGTATGTGTCATTTTCTGTTTGGCTTGTTTCATTTAGCATAATACATTCAGGGTCCGTCCATTTTTTGTGACTAATAGTCCACTGTATGGATATATCACATTTTAATTCTCTGATCTATTGATGGATACCTCGGATATTTTCACCTTTGGCTGTTTTAAACTGTGAACTAGATGTATAAATATCTATTCAAGTCTTGTTTTTTTTTTTGGGTACACATCCAGAAGTGGAATTTATGTTTAATTTCTAGAGGAATTACCATATTGTTTGCCACAGCAGCTGCATGCATGGTTTTGCATTCTTATCAGCTCTGTATAGGGGTTTGAGTTTATCCATATCCTTGCCACCTATTAATTTTATGAGGTTTATTTGTGTGTGTGTGTGTGTGTACACTGATATGCATATCTGTATAAGTACATTTATATGTATATATATATATGTTCGTCTATAGCTATCTTAATGGATATGAAATGATTTCTCATTATGATTTGCATTTCTTTTTGGGCACTTTTTCATGTGTTTATTGGCCATTTGTTTATCTTTGGAGAAATGCCTAATTGTGTCTTTTTTATTTTTTGTCATATGTTATTTAGCTGTAGTTTCCAACCAGGTTTTTGAATGTGTCTTAGATGTGGTGAGTCTAAGTACTAAGCCACATCCCTAACCCTAAGTATTCTATTCTTGTAAATAGTCCTAGCAGGAGTACTTAGGTAGGCAGAGCTAAGGTTTTCCTTAAACATATACCATCTGAATAGGTGATGGTAAGAGCCTCAGAGTTCTTATAGAGCATGATTTGGTCTGGAAAACTCTTGAAACGGGAGTCATTTACCAAAGCTATAGAAAAGTCCAAAAAGCATACCCATTATGATGAAACATTCTGGAATTAGTGATGTTTGTTGCACAACTTTGTAAATATACTGAAAACAACTGAGTTGTACAATTTAAAAGAGTGTTTTATGTTACGGAAACTATACTCATTAGAAAAGAAGAATAAATAATATCATCATTTAATATTTGGTCTTGGACTTAATGTAGCTTCCTAGTGAGCCTGCTAGAAACATGAATTTGAACCATGTTGATATCAGCTTTTGAGTTTATTCACTCACTAAAAATTTTATTGAGTACCCATTATTTTTCTGATATTGTAAATGTACCAATAAATAAAACAAAGTCCCTATTCTTAAAAGTTTGTTTTAGTGGTGAGAGATGATAGTGTAATATGATATAATATCAGGTATTATAGACACTATAAAGAAAAAGCAGAAAAAGGGTGACAGAGCATGCAGTGTTAGATAGGATAGTGTCTCTGGGGAAGTGAAAGAAGCCAAGATCAGAACTGGCAACTCAAATAGCTAGGGAAAGAGCATCCCAGTTTGAGCCAAGAGCAAATCTCCTGTGGGATTTGTATTCAAAGTACAGTAATAATGTCAGAGCAGAGAAAAGAAAGTTAGGTTGGAATAGTAGCAATGGATAGCCTTGTAAGCAGTGGTAAGGGCTTTGAATTTACTAAATGATGGAAAGCCTTTGGAGCATTGTTGTGTAATATAGAAACTAAATGTTGGAGAATACGCTAAAAATGATCATCTTTTTAAAAAATTGCTCTCAATATTTTTGGGGAAGGTACCAGGGATTGAACTCAGGGGCACTTGACCACTGAACCACATCCCCAACCCTATTATATTTTATTTAGAGACAGCATCTCAGTAAGTTGCTTAGCACCGTGCTTTTGTTGAGGCTGGCTTTGAACTCACGATCCTCCTTCCCCAGCCTCTGGGATTACAGGCAGGTGCCACCATACCCAGAGCTCTTAATTATTTCTGATAACTGTTATGTATAAATGAATTGTCTCAACAGCCATATGGTTCAAATGAAACCATATTCTCTGAGTACAGGGGGTTATTTGTTGCTTTTTGTTTCTACAAGAGAGGCAGTAATATCTAGCAATAGGATTAATTCATTAAAATGCCTTAAATCCCTTGCTACACATTCTCTTAAAACCCTGTTTTTCTTTCCCTTGGCCACTTGTAGAGGAAACTTCTTCTTTCCGTTCTTATTCCTTTTGTGAGCTTTAGTTGGCCCTGGTGGTGATTTTTTTTTTTTTAATTACAAGTAAAGTATATAACCTATAAGTAGAAAGAAAAATCTAAAAATTTTGATTTAAAATTAGAAATAAGAGTTCCCCGAAATAACTGCAAAGGTCATTCCTAACTCAACTCTTTAATCTCAACAACTTGTTTTTCCCTGTTTACTAGTAAGTAAAAATATTTTCAAAATTCTTACTCAATTCTTTGGTTATATTAACCACAGCATTTGTATACCCATTTGAACATCTCAGTATGAGAAAAGTTAATGTCTGCTACTTTAGAACTAAATTTTCTGAAAACTTTTAAATTACAACTTATAAATTGGAGAGTGCCTTCTTTAATTATACTCTTGATATTTAATAGAAAGAAATACTACATAACTTGAAAGTTTTAACAACTTCTGTTGAAACAAGCTTTATTACATATTAGTTCCACTTTCATGAATGTTAATTTTATTGACTGTTTATAGAGCAACCAAAAAGTACAGTAGTGATAAAAAGGCCATCTTCTAATTATTAATTATAGGTAAATTTGAGTTGTTGGCATAGAAAGGTCTCAGTTAATAAGTTCTCTCACCAGTATTAGGTGTGTTACAGTTTTCCTCCTATGCAACTAAACTAATATATTTCTTTTTATTTAAAGCTTGCAAATACAGAAGAGTACATAGATGGAGCATTGTCTGGACATCTTGGTGAAGTTTTAATAAGGTAATAAACAGCAGTAGTATATGTAAGGAGTTAGTGGTGAGCATTAGAATTAACACCTCAATTTGAATTACTTTGTTTTAATCACTTAATTTAACATAATATTCTACAACTAGACTTTGATATTGTTAAAATTTGTCAAAGGTAAGATTTAAATACTTCGGAGCTATTCATCCTTAAGTTTTTTCTAGTGTTAATATTACATTTACTGGCTCATAGATGTAATCTTTTTCATTGACTTTAGTTGCAGGAACTTAGTTTTGAATTTTAGTTAAGTCTGGTTGCTAAAAGATTTTTGGTGTACTCATTATCTAGTATTAGCAAGCCTCCAAATTCTAGTAATTATTTTATGAAAATGTCATTAAGACAAACACATGGTAAAAAAAATGTAAGTACCATAATTAAGCAGGCTTTTTAACAAATCTAAGTGAAATTTTTTTTTTTTAAAGAGCAAGAATCATAGTAAGTAAATTTAGCTAGCATGTAGTATTTTCATAATGAAAAAATCTAGCAACAGTATTTCAGATCATACAATTTTTGGTTGAAACGACTAAATGAACTGTTTCTATTTACAGGTGTAATAATGTCCTTTATATCAGAGGTGTTGAAGAAGAGGAAGAAGATGGGGAGATGAGAGAATAGCAACTTTCATGGGGATTTCTTTATGTATATTTCTAGACAATAAAGACTTGTTTTTGTTTTTCAGCTTGACTTGTGAACTATTTATATGCAGATATTTACATGCGAAGCTCAAATGTTGAAATAGTTGAAAGTTGATTCACAGAACTAATGCTTTAAAAAGCCACCAAACTTTATATTCCAAGTTGGTTTTCTTCTATAAGCCCAATACTATTTTTTTCTATAAGGGATAATTATTTATATACTTCAGAATTTTTTATGAAAGTGAATTTCAGCCCTTTTCTTGTTACATATTAATGGACCTTTTAAAGCAAAGTTTTTGATCCACTTAACATGTAAAGTTAAACATTTTCTTAATATAGACTATTATTTAATAAAACTGTTAATTCTGTATCAATGTAAGCTAAATAATGCACGTATTACAGCTGAACTTGAAACATCATCTGAAAATTACAATGACTGGAGATAGGTCACAACAGAAATCGTGATCTGACATTTAGGTGGGAGGCATATGCTTTGTTCATTTAAGAGAATAAAGTTTTCTGAACAGAAATTCATATGAAACAAAAATCAGTCTCATGGTTATATTCTGAGACCATAATCTAGTAGATTTCGATTAAGTTTTAAACCCCTCAAAACTTCTCATTTGTTTTAGTTTTACATTGTTAAATGTATATTCTGTAGTAATAACAGTATGCTATGTGCTTCCCTATAGATATGTTGAGAAAATACATCATTTAAATTCTCACTTTGTCAGAAACGAGCCATTATTATACTTTAAAAGTAATTCAACTAACTAATTTGGGATATGTATCCTCAACTGAGACAACTCAAAATATAGATATGTTTAGCTATATAAAACAATATGAATAATAAAAAGCTACAAAAACTCTCATTCCTACTACCATATCCTACAGAATATGACCCTACCTTTCTTGAATTGATTAGGACATTATGTGGGACAAGATTTGCCATTAATGAAAGCCAAAATCTATAAAATTTATGTAAAACATTCTGATAATAAAATGTCTTACTGCTCCTATTCAACCAAAAAAATATTCTTCCTCCAGTGATTTTGTTCTTGTATCTTTGATGAAAATTAGATCATGTTTGCTACCAGATGGAGGTTGTGAACGAAAGGTAAGCCGTCTTCCCATCTGAAACAAAAGAAAAACTACTTAATGTTCTGTAGCATAACCATTTTCTGTTGAAAATGTAAAATGCTAATATAAACTAGATTTATATTGGAATACTGTGGTTTAAAATGCTAAATAATCATAGTTAAAAGGCATTCATAACATAGTGGATGTTAGGCAAAGTTAGTAGGAGAATACAGAAGTCAAAGTGATAAGGAGTTATAGGGAAGTGGGGAGATTTGGGTAAAGCCGTCAAACAGCATGTGGTTCCAATATGGCCATTCTAGGAAAAGTACCATGTTGGAGGCCAACATTTCATTTTTAACTAAGTGCCATAGCACTTCATGCTTCCTCCGTGGTTAGACAAGATTGCTTTCTTGCCCATCATTTAGAAATCTTTTTTGAACAAAAATTTCAGAAAACTGTATACTATCTTCTTAAACACCAGAGTGAGATGAATTGAAACTGAGAGCAAGAAAGGTAATTTCACTGGAATTCAGCCTGAATAAATTAGAAGAGTGAGGTATTTTATTTTTGTACCACAGAGGCATTCATGTACTGATACAGCTGGACTTGTTAACATCAAAACACAAACCTTTTTCTTTGGTTGTGCTACAGCTCTTTCCAGAGCAGCTTTTAGCCTTTCTTCTTGGTACTTTTGCTTTTCTCTCATTTTCTCTTCACGCAACCTGTCACAGGAAGGGAAGAACATTCTTGTATAAAGTACTCTAAAGTCCACAGAAAGTAAAGATATATACATAATTACTATTTGGCAATGAATTGTCTAAATATGAGATTCCCATAACAATGACTTTTGGCGGGCTAGGGTTGTGGCTCAGTGGTAGAGCCCTTTCCTTGCACTTGTGAGGCACTGGGTTCTGTTCTCAGCACCGCACATAAATAAATGAATAAAATAAAGGTCCATCAACAACTATCAATTTAAAAAAAAAGGTGGCTTTTGAATGTTCAGGTAGATATGAAGAAGAAATCCTATTTACAAGTGGGAAGAAATTCCATTTCCTCATATGGAACAAGTAAAATCTACCTAGACCTTGGTCTAAAAGCCAAGCATTCTCAGCATTCCACTATTGCAGCACTTTCTGAACCATAGCCACTTAACTTCCATCTATCCCTTGTCTATCTTTTAAAACCTTTTTACTTAAGTATAACATCAAGAAGACTATATAGATCACAAGTGTATATAATTCGATGTACACCACAAAAAAGTGATATTCTTGAAATAAGACCAATAAATGTTATTTATCTTACTCTCTCTTAGGATTTTTGTGCAGAAAAAGATTCAAATAGAAATAGTCTAGTACACAGCTTGGTGCAGAATAGGCACCAAGTGCTAGTTGCTTTATGAACTTGTATGATTGTATCCAAAGTGTAAGACGATATACTGATATATCTGTATATAAACTTGATATACAAAACACTTTTTAATCCAGAATTGAGTGTTATGCTAGGTACTTTGAAACCATGGAGAAAATCAAGTAAAATCATTATTAATACAAATGAAAATAATTGGAATTTGATTTGTGTATCACTGCTGCAAATAAATTGTAATTGCACTTTAAAGAGAATA